ATCTGTGATTTCCTGGAGAACCACTTCCTGGATGAGGAGGTGAAGGTCATCAAGAAGATAGGTGACCACCTCAGCAACCTCCGCAGGCTGGCGGGCCCCCAGGCTGGGCTGGGCGAGTACCTCTTTGAAAGGCTCACCCTGAAGCACGACTAGGAGGCTACCAAGCCCGGCAGTCTCTGAGGGGCTCCTGCATCACCTGGCATCAAGACTTCGGCCTAACCCTCTCTCTCCAGCCACTAGGCAGCTTTTTCTCACCTCTTTGGAGCCCCCTTCCAAATCTTGGACCAAGAGAAAATAAAGCCTTTTGCAGCAGCTGGTGTTGTATGTACTTGTGTGTGGGGGTGCAGCGTGGAAGACGAGTCCAGGCCGGGTATGGCGGGACCCCACCTGTGGACTGAGTTGTTACGGTTTGTCTGCTGGCCTAGCTGGCTGTTAAGTGTATCCTCTAGATGTTTGAAAGGGTCTAATTAATGTGATGCCGGGGGTTCCGAGCTGGAACCAGACACTACTGCATCTCAGTAACCTGAAGGGCTGTTCTAAGGAGTGACTCATGGGACCAGGTACTGGGCCAAACTTAAAATTGGAACCCAAGTAGTAGAGGTATTAACCCCTTTTGTGCGGGCAAATTAATGTTACTACAGTTAAAAGCCTGACAGCTGGGACTCATACCTAGGTCCAAAGGCTGCTTGCGCCATCTTCAGAGCGAGTGGGGCAAGGCTGACAGGGCAGCTACAGCCACATGATGCCCAAGGGTACTGACCTAGGGGTTTGGGACTCGGCACAAACGGGATGTGAAACTAGGCTGAATACTCCAAATGGGAACTGAAGCAGCTCAAGGAGAGTTTAAACTGCTGGGTCCAAACTATAAAACTGCTGTGTCAGCTCTCCCCCTCCCTTTGCGGTAGAAGAGGGTGTTTGGTGGGGGTGTTAGAAAGCTGCTGGAGATCAAACCCAGGGCCATACACGTATGTGCTAGCTAAGTGCTCTGCCAGAGCTTATCCCCAGCCCAGCTGGAGTGGCCCCGAGCCACCATCCCTTAGCACTGTGCTGCTCCCGTCCCTGCACTTTCAGGAGCTTACCCTGACTGCCACACCCAGACTAATAGGAAAGATGCCCCATTCAGAGTCGGAGCAATGGGGGGATGGGCATTTAGCTCAGCGGCAAAAGCGCCTGCTTGGCATGCGCAAGGTCGTGAGTTCGGTTCCCAGTACCGGAGAAAAACCAAAAAGAAAAATAAATAAAAAAAAACAAAGTCGGAGCAATGGGGTTGGGGATTTAGCTCAGCAGCGCAGCGCCTGCCTGGCAAAGGCAGCCACGAACCACCTGTGCCCATTGAACATGCATGTCACAGGTGGGTTTTTTTTTTTTTTTGGTTTTCTTGAGACAGGGTCTCCCTATACAGTTCAGGCTGGCCTTGAGCTCACTTTGTGAACTCAGCCTGCCTCAGCCTCCCACGTGCTGAATTACAGGCATGTACCACCACACCTGGCAATAATTTTAATCTTGTCATAGAGTTTCCATGAAGTTTGAAGAGAAGAAAGTCTTTTGGGGGGGGGTACTGGGAATCAAACTCACGATCTTGCGCTTGCCAGGGAGGCACTGTGCCGCTGAGCTATACCCCCGGCCAGTGTTGGGTATTTCTAAGAAATGAGAAACTACCCTATGGATCATCCTCTCAGGCACAGAGCTTCTTCACATCAAAGATCATGTGAGGCAAGTTTTTGCCCCTTGTGAATCAAGGCCCAACTGAGCATCAGACATGGCTTCCTTGGACAGCACTGGGACCTTCCGAGAGCAATGCAAGTTCTCACCAGAGAGTAGCATAAGGTACCAGGGAGTGGGGGGTCCAGGGCAGAGACTTAAACCATGAAGACTGGGGGGAGGCGGGAGCAAGGCCCACCAAGTGCTCACGTCAGATGACACTTGGGACTCTTAAATACTGATATATCTTTTTATCTCCAGACACACCCGTTCTTCTCCCCCCTGCAAACCAAAGTGGAGTGTCAGACACAGCACAGCACACGTGAGGGGCCCTCCCTTCACTGAAGCCAGGGGCTGGGCACAGCCTGGGGATGGAAGGGCCTCGAGGTAACTGAGGAGCTTCTAGAACCCAGTGGGCTCAGCTCTAGAACAGGGCAAAGGGACCCGGATGCAGCACAGTGGTGAGGTTTCCGATGCAGCAGCTGGGGCCTAGAACCCAGTGGTTTCACGGTGGATGGAGTGGCTGGGTGGGCTGAGGGTAGGGTGGACAGCAGAGGGAGTCCTCCAAGGGCTCAGGAGTACAAGACACAGGTGAGATCTCAGACTCGGGAAAAGGGAAGGATCTTGACGGAACAGGCCAGAAAGGCAGAGGGGTGTCTAAACCACAACGGCATGCTCTCCAGAGGGATCGAGGAGCCAAGTGCTTGTGCCACCCCTGGCCTAGCCAAAGCGTGGGTGACCACAGGAGCGCTTTGAGGGATCCTCCAGGCAGGACTAGACACTCCAGGGAGGGCCACACCGGGAGCCTCTCCTGGAGCTCAGGAGTTGAAGTGGAGGACCATCGGCATTAAGGCCCTGAAAGTGTCCCAGTTCCGGACTTGGCTGTCCCGTTAGTGGGGACACTATGTTTTCTAGCACTCTGTGGTCCCCAGGCCAGCTCTGGGCACGGCATGCTGTGTGTGCTTTGGAATTTGCAAGCCGCAAAAGCTTCTAGGAGCCTCAGCCTGCAGTGCACGTGGCCAGGCTTCCCAGCACCTCTGGCGCCACTGCAGAGTAATGGCAGATTCCCAGGCTCTGGGACCCAGTCTGAGCCTGGGGGACTCTGGGGCACAGATAATGCATTCTGAAATCCAAGAAAGGCACAGCGTTTGGGTTTTGGAGGGTGGGGCCTCCAAGAACGGAGCTGGACGGGGAGCAGTGTGCGGCGGTCAGGGCTGGATCCCACTGGGGATCTGGAGTGGGGTTCGGGAACAGCACCCGCTGTCTCCGTTCTGGGGGAGGGGGAGAGGACAGGTGAGGGCGGGGGAGTGGGCGTGGCCACCTTAGTTGCGCTCCTCCCCCAGGGAGCTGGCGGGGCTGAGGGGCTCACTGGGCGTGCTCAGCGAGCTGGAGGGCGCAGTGTCCACCGAGTTGCTGCGCTTGACGGTGGAAGAGGTGCAGGAGGCGCGGCGCGGCCACTCGGGCGCGCGGATGTTGCGCCGGTCCTTGGCAGCCTCCTCGTCCTCGTCGTATCGTTCGCCATCTTCCTCTAGCGGCCCTTCCCGGGGTTCCTCCTCATCCTCGCTCTGGTGCGGGCTCGAGTGCCGTGACAGCGAAGGAGAGGGCGGCACCGAGGCTGGCCGGGGGTAGCGGTAGCCCTGGGCCTGCATCCCCAAGAGTAGGGACACAAAATCACAGACTGAGAAGCCCCGGAAGTCCTGCGAGCCATCTGCCCCCTTCTAGGACTTTACACCCCCGAAAGGAACCCCGAGCCCCGGCCCCAGCCCAGCGCTCTAACTTCCGGTCCAGCAGAGATCCCGGCTCCACTCACCGCATCCGCCTCGTGGGGCTCGTAGGTGAAGTGATCCGGAAAGGCCTTGGCCAGCGCCATGTGACGCGCAGACATATAGTACTTAGTGGAAAGGAGGAGAGGAGGCGTCAAGGGACGCAGGAGCCAGAGGCCACTCTCTGGGTGGTGAATCCTGGCCACTCCTTTATGCAAATACACACCCGGCTGGTCCTACCCCTTATGTAAATAAGCAGAGCTGTGAATGGACAATCCCTGGGCCATCCTCACTGCAGTGGGTCAAGCAAGGCTTTGGCCCCACCCCTGTGCAAACGAAAAGAACTCCAGACCAACGCTGTTTCTGCAGAAGCCCATTCACTGCTTAAAGAGACAGCAAAGGTTACAAGGAGGAGGAGACCCCACCACTTGCACCGGGCTTTTGAGGCTATAGAAGCTCAGATCCTGAGCTGGAGGTGGCTGAGGGACCCAGAGCCCAGGGGAAAATGATGGTAGGGAAGGGGTCATACCCGGCCTAGGTACTTCCAGTCCAAAAGGTCGGAGAGACGCTCCGTGCGGTTCCGCTGGATGATGCGCTGCCTGCGGCTCTGCTGGCAGAAGCTGTAGAGGAAGGAGGTGAGCTGTGAGCAGGAATCGTCCAGGCTGCGGAACCGCCGGTCCAGAATGTAGATGCCTGCAGAGGGAGGAGCAGGGTTCAAAGAACAGTTTGAGGAAACCTGCAAGGTCGCCGGGACTCGGTGGCATCAGGACCCCGTGCCCCCACATCCCTCCTGCCCAGGAGCCAGCAGCCCCAGCTGCCCCTTTCTAACCCTCAGGTGCCTGGGCGCTGACCGTAAGCGGAGGGGTCTGCGATGTGCTCCTCCATGAAGCAGCCGAAGCCGGAGAGGTTGGTGGAGATACTGGGGATGCCCATGACCGTGCACTCGGCTGCAGGGAGGCAGGAGAAACCCTCACTTAGCTTCGTTCTCTCCTTCGTTCTCTCCTCACTTAGCTTCGTTCTCTCCTTTTTTTTTTTTTTTTTTTTTTTTTTTTTTTTGGTTTTTCTCCGGTACACTAAACTAAACTGCATCCCCAGCCCTATTTATTTATTTATTTATTTATTTTTAGATTTTGTTTTGAGACAAAGTCTTGCTAAATTTCCCAGGCTGAGTTCAAACTTGCGATCCTCCTGCCTCAGCTTCCCCCAGCTCTGGGATTACAGGTGTGCACCACCATCCCTGGCTCCTACAGTTTAAATTTCAATTTAAAAAAAACACAGCGCCCTCTACTGGCACTGAACCAAGTGCCCCGTCCCTGGGCTGCTGCTCATGCTGTGCATTATTCGCTTCTATTCTCAGGGTTTCTTAGAGAGCAAGCTAAGAGATTCAGGTAAGGGAATCTGATTCTGAGAATTCAGAATGGAGAAACGTCCACAGTCAAGAAATAAGGGTGACTTATGGGCAGTTTATCTGGGCCAGTGTCCATTTTAATTAATCCTCAGAACCTTAAGACGCGTTTTTATGCCAGAAGCCAGAACTACATTGTTTGGGTTATGAGTGTTACTCTATTTTGACAGGAGGTTAAAAAAACAAAGGTTCTCCCCTTTCTCTCTCTCTTTTTGAGAAAGGGTTTCACTATGCAGTTCAGCGTTTAACTCCCTTTGTAGAGGGGTTGGCCTCGAACTCGCAGTGATCCTCCTGCCTCAGCCTCCCATGTGCTGAGATTACAGGTGTTCACCACCACATCTGGCCCATCATGCCTAGTGTATCAGTCTTACAATAAATGTTTTCCTAAAAACTTCCATAAATGGCCAAAACAGGCACTAAATATAACAGAGCTTATGAAAAGAGGGTCAGGCTGACCCCCCAAAATCTATATCCTTAGCTGGGTGTGGTGGCGCACACCTGTAATCCCAGCACTCAGGAGGCTGAGGCAGGATTGTTGCAAGTTTTAGACCAGCCTGGGCTACAAAGTGAGCTCAAGGCCAGCCTGAACTGCATAGCGAGACCCTGTCTTAAAAAGACCAAATAAATAAATAAATAAATAAATAAATATCCTATTGTAACTACAACAGAAAGACAGCAAGGGAAACTAATTATAATGCAAGCACAATTTAAAAGATTTGTTAAATTACTTATAAGTTAACAAATAGCAGAGGAAACATGGCATTCATTTGATGGTAAAAATATATGAAGCTGGGCATGGTGATGTACATCCGTAATCCCAGCACTCTGGAGGCTGAGGCAGGAGGATTGAGTTTGAGGCCAGCCTAAACTACACAAGACCCTGTCTCAAAACTAGCCAATCAAGAAAAGCAGCTTGATAGAGAACAGCATAGCAAAATCTCCTTGAAGTGAGGGAGAACTATAAATAAGCATTTCTAACTCAGAGTGAGACTTCACTACAGTCAGTTTTGCTAGTGAACTGTGACTCAGGTGCTGTTACTTGGTGATGAAATCTCTGAAACTTGGGGGCCGTCAGAGTGAATGGTGACATCACTTGAAACTGACATCAGTCTTCTAGTTTCTTTTGTTTTGTCATTTTATGTTTTTTGAGATAGGGTCTCATTATGTAATCCAGGCTGGCCTCGGACTTTCGATGATCCTCCTGACTCAGCCTCCCAAGTGCTGGACTTACAGGCATGCACCACTGTACCTGCTGAGTCTTTCAGTTTTGAGTCATATGAGTCACTGTGTCACAAAAACATAGGCTGCATCAGAGCAGTCTGTTACCACTGTCCCTATTTTGCAGAGGAGAGAAATGGGCACAGAGAAGGCCAGGGCCTTGCCCCGAGATCGTGGCAGACCTGAACAAGACCCAGAGGTACTTACCTGGTGTGTAGCCCCAAGGCTCATAGTAGGAGGGGAAGACTCCAAGGTGACAGCCACGTACAAACTCCTCGTAGTCCACAGGGAGCAGAGGGCTTGTGGAGGAGAGGAACTCTGGGTGGAAAATCACCTGGCAGGTGAACAGAAGTACTTATATCAAGCGTTTCATGTAGCTATTTCCTGAGAACGGGGTGTCCCATAGCATATAGGTGACAAGATGGAGATATCAACCCAAGTCTGTTCACCTCAGAAGGCAACAATGCTTTTGATAAGTCAGGGGGGTGGGGATGTCACACCCAGTGTGTGATCTCCTCCCTCTGCCACTCACAACCGTTCCTGGCCAGCGCCCTCACCTTCACCCTGTCGGCGCTGCTATTGAAGAGGCCAATCCGGCGGATGGTGGTCAGGATGGGGTCTGAGGAGTCGTCTAGCATGTTGTGGGTGCACACAGGCGGGAATGATTGCCGCTGTGGGGGCCACAAGTGGAGGGGGGGCAGTCAGAAAAGAGACACAGAGCTTCCGACTTCCCCATGGGCCATGCGGACCTGGGGGTCCAGGAAAACACAAGGCCCAGCAGACCAGGGGGCAACAAACCCAGGATATTCCCAGGAGTTGCCAGTTCCCCCTTAGCTCTCACTGGACAGGTTCTCCGTTCCTTAAAGAACTACAACTCCCAGCTGTCTCCAGGGGCAGCCGGTGTTAAAAAGCTCCGTGGACAATGGAGAGTTATCACTATCTCATTCTGTATTCTTGGTTCTGTCATTAAAGGAACACAAAAGGAACCATAATTCACCAAATGAGTGCGAACAGACACTGTGCCAACATGGCAAGGAGTTTCAGGGCCTGCTGGGAGTTGTAGTTTGCTTAGGAAAAAATCTAGACCTGTTTCCCCCCACCCCCCCAACAGGAGCCCAAAGGAACCACAATTCCCAGAAGTCACAGCCACAAAACAAAATTAGTAATAGGAAGCTCCAGAGGTTGCTGCAATGGATAGTTCTTTGAAACTGTCCCATCATCTCTATTTTTTTTTTTTTTTTTGAGACAGGTTCTTCCTAAGTTGCCCCAGATGGGACTTGGACTTGTGATCCTCCTGTCTCAGCCTCCCAGAGTGCTGGGATTACATGTGTGCACCAACGTGCCCAGTTTCATTATCTATCTCTCATTACAGGTTCCACACAACTTCAGTCTACTGATCCCAGAGGTTCAAGAAAATACAATTCCCAGCAGCCCTATGTAAACAACATTCATGAGTGAAACAGAATCCCTTAGGGTCATGGAAAATTATAGTTTGGCCAAGAACATTTTATACTTTGCGTTTGCAAAGTAGCTGTCTAGGTTTCCATCAGTCTGAACCTAGGTACAAAAGTCCCTTGACTTCCGGGAATGAGAGAACTCTAACTCCCAGAAACCTCTAGTGCAAAGGAAGTCAATGTTGCAGAAAGCCCCAGGGGCTGCTGGGAGTTGTAGTTCTCCTGTTGTGATTGCCAGGTCTAAGGTTTTCATTCCACCTAACTCCATCATCTTCAGTAATCAAAGAAGCTAAAGCTCCTTGAGCTGTGCAGGGACTAAGACCTGACTAGTGGAATAAGAAACAATGGAAGCCGTGAATGGTGGCACAGGCCTGTAATCCTAGCACTTGGGAGGCTGAGACAGGAGGATCCTCATGAGTTGGAGGCCTGCCTGGACTACATAGTGAGTTCAAGGCCAGCCTGCACTGCACAGCAAGACCCTGTCTCAAAAAAAAAAAAAGAAAGAAAAGAAAGAAAGAGGCATCTGAGGCATCTGGGAATTGTCATTTCTGTGCTCAAAGGTCCAAACCAACCTGTGTGGCAAAGATAGCCCTCTTCATCATAGTGAAGTCCTCCTTGTCCAGCATCTTGTTCATGTCTGGGAGGCTCCCCCTGCAAGGCAAGTGGGGGTGCGCTCGTGGGAATGGGTGACAGGAGGGCTGGGGTCCGGAAGGGTACGGAGCTGAGGGCCAGGCACTCACACCAGTAAGGACTCATAGAGCTTCCTCCCGAACTTCTCCTTCACCGTGTTGGCCGTGTCCCTGGAAGGGGCAGAGCAGTGTCACAGACATCAGCGCCCACCTACTGGCAGGCCAGGGGGCAGCATGGGAACTCTGGCCAGCGTGGAGGAGCCGCACACTGGGGCCTCCAGGCTGGAGGAGGGGGACAGAGGGACGAGTCTGGAAGGCCTGGGTTCCTTGTACCATCATCAGCTGTGTGACCAGGGACAGGTGGCCTTTCCTCTCTGACCTCCTGACTCATCTATCAGATGAGAATAAAAATAGAATCAACTTCAGAAGTTTGCAGCCAGGGCTCCAAGAGGTCAAGGGTAGAGATGCACAGTGCCCAGCACACAGCGAAATGCCAGCTATTCTTAGGTTTGATGAATCCTGGCGGCAGTGATGCCAAGCCCCATTTTATGATAAAGGAAGATTCCAAGGCAGGAGTGTTATTGTTTTGTTTTGTTTTGTCTTTTTGAGACAGGGTCTCACTATTCACTTCAGACTGGCCTTCAGCTCACTTTGTAGCCCAGGCTGGTCTTGAACTTGCAACGATCCTCCTGCCTCAGCCTCCCAAGTGCTGGGATTACAGAAGTACACCACCATGCCCAGCGAGATGTCTTTTTTTCTTTTTTTGGTACCAGGAATTGAACTCATGACCTCAGGCTTGCCAGGCAAGCGCTTATGCAAGGCAGGAGTGTTGACGGCACACATGATGCTAGCAGGGTGGCCCCACCGTCATTTTCTGCTTCCAGTCCTCCCACAGCTTCAGCCTCATTTCCTTTTCTTGTTTTTTTTTTGAGACAGGGTCTCGCTCTGTAGTACGTACAGGCTGGCCTTAAACTCACTATGTAGCTTAGGTGGGCCTCAAATTAGTGGCAATTCTCCTGCCTCAGCCTCCTGAGTGCTGGGATGAAAGGTCAGGTTCGGCCTCATTTTCTACCCTATCTCCCTGGATACACGGCTCCAGCCACGCTGACCCCTCGATATTTCTCACACGTGCCCAGGGCCTTCGCACTGGTTGGTCCGTGCCTGAAATACTGTTCTGCAAGGACATGCAGGCCCTGTTCCTTCCTTTATTCTCTCTGCCAGTGGCACTTCCTCAGTGTCACTTGTCCTGGCCACCCTATCTCATTTCCAACCCTGCCTTTATTTTGCCAGAATACTTTCTAGAGAACTTTCTACAACATGAGCTTTATGAAGGCAGGTGTTTTTTATTTCTTTGTAATTTTTCCCCTTTGGTACTGGGGATGGAACCCAGGGCCTTTTGCACTGAGCCACACCCCTAGCCCTTTTAATTTTGACCCAGGGTCTCAATGAATCGCTCAGGCTGGGCTCAAACTCATGCCGCTCCTACTTCAGTTTTCCAGAGTGCTGGGATTACAGGTGTGCACCATCACGACAGCTTTTTTTTTTTTTTTTTTTTTTTTTTTTTTGATGCCAGGAACTAAATTCAGGACCCTGCGCTTGCCAGGCAGGTGCTGTGCCACTGAGCTATATTCCCTGCCCCACGCCCAGCTTTTGAACTGTTTTTAATAGGACTATATGGCATTCCTGTTTGGCCTTTCGTTTTGCAGTTCTGGGGATGGAACATTCACATGCCAGGCAACTGCTCTACCACTGAGGGGCACGCAGGCCCCTGGAGACCTCCGCAGCGAGTGACATCACTAGGCATGGGGTTGGGGGGACGACATGTTCAAGGACAAAACCGAGATGCCAGGAGAAACCCTGGGCCCAGGGGCTACGGCGGGGCCTCCCTGGCGTGGGGATGGGCGCTACTGACCACAGCTGCTTGCGCACGGCCTGGCCCTTGAGGGTTTCCACGTTGAAGTTGTTGGTCCGAGCTGGCATGATGAAGAAGGCCACCACTGTCTGCTCACTGCCATTTACCTGCGGTGAGGAAAACGACGAGGCTGGATCACATGAGGGTGGGCCAGCCCCAGGACCACTGGGACCCTGCCAGGCCCCTTCCTGCTGAGGAGAATCACTAGGCAAAACTACCCTCGCTCCTGGGCCTTGGATCTCCTTTCTAGGTATCCACATCTTGCACAACTACCATGGCCCTAACCCCAGTTCCCTGGTCCTATGCTCCCCAGGTTTGCACTAATTTTTTTTCTTCTTTTTTGGAGACAGGGTTTCACACTGTAGTGTAGACTGGCCTTGAACTCACTATGGAGCACAGGATGGCTTTGAACTCACAGTGATCCTCCTGCCTCTGCCTCCTGACTGCTGGGATTATAGGCCTGTGCTACCACACCCAGCTGCTTTTTCTTTCCGAGACAGGGTTTCTCTGTGCATTTTAGGCTGGCCTTGAACTCATTTTCCAGTGATCCTCCTGCCTCAGCCTCCCTAGTGCTGGGATTACAGGTGTGTGCCACCTGGCTCTATGCACTAATCTAATCACTCCCCCCCCCACACACACACATCCCAGGCCTCACTCTGAGCAGATAGTTGAGCCGGGCCAAGGCTTCCAGGAAGACGTCTGCCCCTTTGTTAGAGAACTCATAGCGACCGGCAATAAAGAAATACAAAGTCTTGTCCAAGTTGAAGTCCAAGTGCCTAAAGAAGCCACACAGCAGGGTGAGGCCCAAGAGCCTCACCTTGTGGTCCTGTCCTCGAACCTACAAATCCCAGATGTTACAGAGGCAAATATTTTAGACAATGCAGAGGTATCATGGAGTCTCTTATAGTTCTTTTCTCCTTAGATGAGGATCATTTTAATTTTTTCCCACTGTTTTTTTTTTTCTTTCTTTTTTGTCTTTTTGAGACAGGGTCTCCCTGTGCAGTTCAGGCTGGCCTTGAGCTCACTTTGTAGTCCAGGCTGGCCTCAACCTTGCAACAATCTTCCTGCCTCAGCCTCCTGAGTGCTGGGATTACAGGCATGCACCACCAAGCCCAGAGATTCCCACTGTTCTAAAGAAGCTGAGCTCCTATCTGCTGGAGGGGTCCAGGCCCAGCCTTCTCCCTCACACCGGGGTGTTCAGGCCCCATCTACTCAGCCATAGATATCTTGGCCACATACCCATAAAAATGGCCCCGCACAAACTCCTGGATCCGAGCTTTGCTCTGAGCATGCAGGTTCTGGAACTCATGCATGGCAGAGAACTTCTTCACATTCAGTCCGTTAGGGGTCACAATATCTGGGATTAGGGTAGAAGGTCCCATGTTTTATTTCTTCATTTGTTCATTCAGACCAATGTGGCTGAGTGAATCAATGAAGGAAAGAACCCATCCCTTTTGCAACTTGTTTCAATCGGTCTTCTGGGAACCCCTTTCCTGCTGCCCCGATGCCTTCTTGCCTAATATCACCTGCTTATGCCCACAAGCGTAACCACCACCCTCCTCAGCTGTTGCAAGTGGCTGACAAGACAGGGAATGATTGACACCAGAGATTCTAGATTTGTTTTGTTTTCCCTGAGGTGGAAGTGACTAGGTATTTCTTCCAACATGCTGTTTCTCCCCAGATATACTCTCTATGGTCAAGCCTCCTTTAGGGACCCGTTTCCTCACCTCACAGAAATTAAACCATGTCAGTAAAAGACTACAACCCCTAAGTCAGCTTCTAGGGCAGTTTCAAGAGCTGGCAGGCAAAGGCCTTCTGGGAGCTGTAGTTTTTACCTTACACTCAATGAGAATGGGTACTCAGACCTGAGGAAAAACCCCAGTTCTATCCTACTTTTCTCAAAAATAATGTCTGCTATCCCTGCATTCCCTTTTGGGGAACCAATAACTACAGGAGCCAACTACTGAATTTAACCACATTAGGAAAGGTTCAATGGAACTACAACTCCCATTAGCCTCCCAGGCATATAAAGCCAGGCAGCCTGATTTGTAAGTTACCACACCAACCCCAAGGCCTTCTGGGAGTTGTAGTTCTGTTCATTACAGTTAAATTGGTATTGGCCCTGGCATAGACAGTAGCCTACCTCATTCGGTCTAGGGACCCTGGCCCAGCTCCTACCTGGCTTTCTCTTGAGTAGATGTTGAGCCTCAATGGCAGTTATCTGGGACACAGTGGTGAAGACATGAGCACAGTGTGCTGCTGCCCGCTCCATGCAGTAGCGGTGATAGATTTGTCTCTCGCCCGCTTCCTTGTCTACATTGAACTGGGGGTAGGAAGAGGCAGGATGATCGGGTCAGGAGGACTGGGGTGGAGACTAAAGGTTTAGACTCTAGGGTCCTGGGAGAGCTTGGGGCTGGGAGATGGAGTCCTGGGTCTCCAGGAGGTGGGGACTGGGGGTTTGGGCTCCTGGGCCCTGCGGGAGGAGGGAGTTTGATCCCCTTGGGCTTCCCAGCACTGTGAGCACAGCCCCCCACAGCCCAGCTCACATTCTCCAGGTTGTTGTAGAAGTCCACGGCACCAGCGCACAGGTAACGCCCCAGCAGTGTGGCATGGGTGGTGAAGATGGTGGCCACGGGCAGCCGCCGGGCACGGCACAGGCAGAGCCCGACACCTGCCAACCACTCGTGGAAGTGGGCAACCACATGTGGCTTCTCTTCACTCTGGGCCAGGAACTGTGGGGCAACAGCGACAGGGTCACCGCGTCTCCGCGCGTGCCGTGAGTCAGCGATCCCCAGCATGGACAAGGAAGCAGGGGAGCGGTAACTCCATCACCACCGATGCTCGGAGTGGGCAGCCCCCCTGCCCCCCGTAATGAGGAACCAGGCACTGTGAGGCAGTTAGCTCAGCTGCCCTCACCCCTACGGGCTGGATGTGTTTGTTTTTTGTTTTTTGTTTTTTGTTTTTTTTTTTTTTTTTTTTTTTTTTTTTTTTTTTTTTTTTTTTTTTTTTTTGGTTTTTCTCTGGTACCGGGAACCGAACTCACGACCTTGCGCTTGCCAGGCAGGCGCTTTTGCCACTGAGCTAAATCCCCAGCCCCTGGATGTGTTTGTTTGTATCAACCTTCTAAGTCTCGGCAAGGGTTGAATTGGGAAGACTGCAGTTTCTGTGTCCCCAAATCCTGGACACGATTCCTGGAGACTCCTTATGTACTGGCAAACGGACTACAGAATGCCTTGGAACAAGCTGTTCCTAAAATTGTCCCAGGGCAAGACAAATTAAGTTACTTGCACTTTTAAATCCTAAAAGGGGATTAGAACCAGGATTCCTGGTTCTTAGAGGTTGGGAATCCTCAAGTATCCAGGTCCATATCTAAGTGGCTTGGTCCAGCCATTATTGGACTGGAGAACTACAAGTCCCAGAATTCCTCGGGCCTCTGTAGGCCACACTACTTTCGGGTGAACAGCTCAGAATCTCTAATTTGGAAGACTTCGGTAGATGAAGCTAAGGTCAATAGTTTGCGTTTCTCAGAAAACAGGCTCCTTGGGTCCCCAAAGGTCAGAGATAAATAACTGGTTCAAAGAATGTACAACTCCCAGAATGCTCCAGGAGAAGCCCATCCTCTGGCCCTGGTGGGGCGGATGGTCATTGCAGTTTCAGGCGTAGGGTGCTGAATAGTGAGCAGGGTCTGTGGTGGGGCCTACCTCACCGAGGAACCAGGTGGTGAGGAAGCCAAAGAGGACAGCATCATTGGCTTCTCGGTCGTACCAGGGCACCCCGATGTTGCAGGTGTCCCAGAGCTCTCCTTTCCAGCGTTCCAGTGCCCAGGCAGAGGCCCCCACATCCAGGAGCACCACCAGGGGGCCCCCCTCAATCAGCCAGCGCCCGAAGTACACCTGGAGGGGTAGCAGAGAGGCTCCAAGCTTTTGTGGTTATTGTTTTTATTATTATTATTACTATTATTACTACTACTATTATGTGAAACAGGGTCTTGCCATGTACTCGAGGCTGGCCTTAAACTCATAGAGATCCTCCTGTCTCAGCCTCCTGAGTGCTGGGATTATAGGCGTGTGCCACTATGCCCAGCCATCATGACGCTTTCTCCCATTATGTTTTCTCTCTATGCTGCTACTTCCGAAGTTCTGTTACTGGAAGCCATCTGTCTTCCTCCCCACCGTCTCATTTCTGCCCCCTTCACGGTGTGTCTCTCCCCTGCCACTTCTTTCTTGTGCACACAGGCCCACCTCTGCAACCACATTTCTAGCACCGCCTGGTCTTTTTTTCTGCACCCCCAGCAGAATCTCTGGGGTCGCTGTCTCATTTCATCCCCGGCCACTTTACTGTAGGTGACCACGTTCGCCCTGAGACTGGCCTTGGTGCCTGGCCGCTACCACAGCTCCAGCTGGGGGACAAGCAGCCATCCTCCCCCACCTGGCTTCTCCAGCCCCGGGCATGCTCGCTGCCCCTCCCCCTCCCAGCTGTTGTCTGCCCTTTTGCTGGGGGCGCTATTCTTAGGAGCAGCTACCCTGGAGGAGGGACTGGGCCGCTCTGGGTTCCCTTAGGGTCATCATCTGGCCTGACCGGACTCTGGACCCCAAAAGAAGCTGGGGATAAGTAGGGGAACCACGGCCCCTCAGCTCCGACGGTCTGCGCCTTCTTTTTGCCTGCTGCCCTGTGCACACTTCCTGGGAGGCGTCGTTCCCCAGTCTTCACCCTGGGGTCCTGGACTGTTCCTCCTCTCCTTCCTCCCTGGGTGTGCTTATCTCAGACGCTATTCACTGGGTCAGCCTGTCTGTCCTCCCCTCATCGATATTCATCTTTCTATTTCTGGGCTGGACTTTCATCGTTCTCTCCTTCCTTTTTTTTGAGACAGGCTCTTGCTATGTAGTTCAGGTTCTCCTTGAACTCACTATGTAGCCCAGGCTGGCCTCAAACTCATGGAGATCCTCCTGCCTCAACCTTCTGAGAGCTGGGATTATGGGATTACAAGCATGTACCACCAAACCCAGATTTTTTTTTTTTTTTGAGACAGGGTCTCACTATGTAACCCAGGTTGGCCTCAAACTTGTAGCAATCCTCCTGCCTCAGCCTCTGAGTGGTGGGATCACAGGTAGTATACCACCACACCTCTCAGGCTGTCTGCCTGTTTTTCCCTCTGTGGGGCTGAGGACCTTAGGTCCTTGGAGCCAGAGCTCTCAGTCTGCCTGTCCATTCACCCACAACGGGCTCCCTGCACCTGTCTGCGTGTCTGTCACTTTCCTCTTCTAGGTCTGCCTGGGAAAGTGCCACCTCAGCTGCTCAGGCCTCCCTCCTGGGGCCACCCGCTGCACCCCTCTTCCCACGCAGCATGGAGTGGCCAAGTCCTACCTTGCAGCCCTTGCTGTTCATGGAGTCCAGCGTCCTCTTCAGGGCTGGGGTTGGGGGCTCGAGCAGCTCCACCTGGGTCCTCACACCCTGCTCCGTGTACGGTCCCACCAGGTAGTAGTTGTCACCCCATTCATCCCCCGTCACCTTCGCCTTGGTCTGCAGCACCGTGTAGATGCCCCCCACTGCGGGCCCAAGTGTGTGAGCACAGGCCCAGCCCAGGTCCACAGGCCTGGCATGGGGGGTGGGGGGAGGCTGGACCCCCAGCTCAGGAGAAACGGGGATCAGAAGCAGAGGGAGGGAGGGCTGGGCCAAAGGAAGAGGGGCTGGAGGGTGGACCTCCGGGGTCGGAGCAAATTAGGGCTGGAAGCCCAAGGAAGGCAGGTGATAAGGATTGTTGGGACCCGGTTCTTGAGCTCTCCGCCTTCAGGAGCTGTGTTAGTTCTCAGGCTCCTGGCCATGGCGGGAGAATTCTTTCTTGGGCCTATTCAGCTTCCTGAGTTACCTAAGGGAAGTCTGAATCATCCCAGCCTGCTCCTCAGGGATCCTGCTGACCTGTCTGCCAGCCTCTTCCCCCCAGACGGGGACACAGGCACACAGGACGGGCTCTTCCTATGACCCCACCCCGACCGTGGCGCCTGGGCCCCGGTCTGCTCACCTTCTAAAGCCGGGGCCCTGGTAGTTTGGGCTCTGAGTGCACACGCCCTGGCTCATGCTGGGAACCTCCATCCCTTTCTCCTCCAACGCCAGCAAAGCAAACCCCGTAACCCGCTGAGGGGTGAGGTTGGGACTGCCACGCTCCTGGGGATTCCAGCCCCAGAAGTCCAGGACACAGAAAGGCAGGCTCCCAGCCACTCCCATCACAGTCCAGCCCCTGACCAACTTAGGACTTCCCAGCCTTCCCCTGTGGGACGCAAATGTCCGAAGTCACAGGCTCAGGCCTGTGGTTCTTTCAAAGCCTAAGCATTCAGGTCCCCAGTGTGCTCCCATGTAGGACCTAAGGATGAAGATCTCCAGCCTCCTACAATTTTTACTCTCAAGCCACCAAGTCCCCAAATGCTTCCCTTTGTCCCACGCATCCTCTCTCCCAGTGTCTGTGACCCCAATCCCGAGAGACATCCCAAGACCACCCTCCCCAGGACCACGGGTCTGAAACCCCGGCCTCCTCCCGGTTTTGCAGGCACAAGTCCCCGCCCCAACCCCTTCCCGGTTCAGGACCCAGGTTTCTGGGAAGACCCCTTCCAAGACCTGGCAGGCTGCAATTTTACTGTCTCCACCAGGACCCTGGGCCTGGAAGCCTCCTTCCATTTTAACTCAAGCCTCTCAGCCCTTCCCGCTCAGGGCCTAGGAGACAAACCCAGTCTCTCCCAAGGACAGAAGAGTCACAGGCACCTTGCCCAGGACCCAAGAGTCTTCCGTGGAGCTCTGTATCCCTGAGCCGGCCTTCTGGGCCCCCATCCCCGACTGCCCTTCTCGTCAAGGGCCCTGGCGCCTACGTGCTCACCCTTGTTGGCCACCTCCCAGGCCACCTCGAAGAGCACTGTGTTCTCCAGGTCGAACTCATCCTCCCACTCCTCCAGTCCTGGCAGTGAGGACACCGACAACGTGCGGCTCAGAGGCATGCCTGGCGCGGGGAGGGGGCTCCGAGGACCACAGGTGGGGACCCCGGAGGTGTCCAGGGAATGTAGCAGGCAGGGTGAGGGGCCGGATTGCGGCTGTCGAGGGGAAGCTTGCAGCGCGCTCCGCTTCCTATTACACGACCGCACCCCCGCCCAGAGAGCGCTCGGACTTGGCTAGAGGTGGCCGCAGCGTTTACAGATCCCGGAGGCAAAACTTGCAGTGAGCCCTGTGGCCGCCAGGAGGCGGTGCCTGCCCCCAGCCTGCCATTGGCCAGCGCCCGGGGGCGGGACTCCCGTTTTTCCTCATTGGTGGAGAAGATCTAGTTAACTCCGCCTTCCACCTCCTTAGCTGTGGAAGAGCTCCAGGGGGTGGGGTTTGTCCCTGCTCCGAACGGAAGCGATTGGCTTTTGGTTATAGCAATCTGAACGTAGAGGCCCCAAGTAGGGAGGAAGAAGAGGGTGGGATAAAAAGGAAAGGAAGCGTGGAGGACGTGTGGTTGCTAAAAGAAATGTTAGGAGTTTTGCAATCAGCCTCAAAAGGGGTGGGGGCTGAGTAAAAGGAGGAGGAGCTAGGAGACGTTGGGAAAGGACGCAAAAGTTCCGGACACCCATCTTTCAGACAGCTGCGCCGAGTGGGCGGGGTCTAAACGTGCCGCCACGCCCCAACGGGGAGTTTACATATTTATGAGGAACCATCGAGACGTTTGGATGACCTGCTAAGCTAGAGGGCCCAAACGTTTCGCTGCTATCGCGTTTCCGTTTCCGCTAAGACATTGCCGGTTGGTGAGCATCATGGCAACCGTGGTAAGTGTCGGCGCGTGGAAGAGGAGTGAATGTGCACTCTCGAGTCTGAGGGAGGTGGGGGTTAGAGGCCCGGACGCCTGGGTCTCAGGGAGGAGGCAATTGGGGCCTGGGTGTCCTGGGTCTTAGAGAAGAAAGTAAAACAGGGTGGGCTCCTGGAATCTTAGGTTTGATCCCCATCGCGGTATAAACTCCAGCTCCAACTGTGGGCGCAGTCAGCGGCCCATGCTGCAGTATTTTGCCCCAGTCTGATGAGGGCTGTAGCATCCTGTTCGTGGTGCAAATTTATCTGAGTTCCATGGGATAAGAGCAAATGCGATCCTATCCTGTATGCTTGAGAACACGAGGTCCCTTGGTGGGCGTTTATTTGTCTATATAGTTTGGTACCGGGAATCGAACTCAGGACGTTGCGCTTGCCAGGCAGGCGCTGTGCGGGTGAACTATATCTTTGGCTTCTTGATGGGTTTTTAGCAGAACGAGTGATGGGAATTAAAACTGTGTCAGTGGGACGGGGGAAGGATTGGGGCAGAGGCCGGGCTCCCGTCGTGGCTCTGTTCTGGCCGTTTTGCTGCTTTTAGCACCGTACACAGGTCGCCTCTTCTTGCCAGTGCTCAGTAAGTTCCTGCTTGAATGTTTCAATCAGTGAGTGAGACCCAAAGCTATGAGACCAGGTGCAACGGGCCAGGTACCTGCTCTGGAAACATACGCATGAAGAAAGGATGTAAACTTGGGGGCAGGGCTGGGCTTCCAGATGGTTTGGGCCCCATGGTGACCGTGCTCCTTTTTTTTTGAGACAGGGTGTCCTTATGCATTTCAGGCTGGCTTTTAGCTTACTTTGTAGCCCAGGCTGTTCTCAAACTTGCAACGATCCTCCTGCCTCAGCCTCCTGAGTGCTGGGATTACAGGCGTGCCCCACCATGCCTGGCAGTGACCCCCGACTCTTGAGGGAGGAAGGGCAGGGAGAGAGTTTCTTCTGTTGCTGTGACTGTGGCAAGGAGCAGGAAGTGGTTAGGGAATTAGAGGAGAACGAGGGCAATGACCACAAGTCCTACTAAGGAAATTTGGATGTAGGAGGGTGTGGCAGTACTGAGGTGTTTTGGTTTTTTTTGACACTGGGTCTTGCTGTGTAGTTCAAGTTGGCCTTGAACTTACTAGGTGGCCCAGGCTGGCCGGGAACTCACAGGGATCCCTCTGCCTCAGCCTCCTGAGTGCTGAATTTCCAGGCCCGCTGCACTACCATGCCCGGCTGGAGAACTGAGTTATTTGGTAGTGTGTTTATTTTTTATTTTTTTCTCTTTTTGTCTTTTTGAGACAGGATCTCGCTATGCAGTTCAGGCTGGCCTTGAGCACACTTTGTAGCCCGCACTGGTCTTGAACTCGCAATGATCCTCCTACCTCAGCCTCCTGAGTGCTGGGATTACAGGCGTGCACTGTCATGCCTGGCTGGAGAACTGAGTTTTTCGGTAGCATGTTTATAGTCCTGGAAATCAGCGTGACCATTGAGCTACAACCCCAACCCAGGACTGAGTCTTAAGATGACCTTGGTTCACTGGGTCCCTGAGCAGCAGGGTGTAAGAGAGAGCTACAGTGAAAGGAAAAGACCTTGTCTTAAGCAATTTCTGCTTATGGGGTCTGTTTATGTCAGAGAGCAAATCCCGGGCCTCTGGGATTCCAGAGTCCTTGTTTGTGCCCCCCCCCCCATGGAGGGTGAGTCTGTGTGTGTGTGTGTGTGTGTGTGTGTGTGTGTGTGTGTACATGTGGGTGCAGGGGGTGTGCCTAGTCTCTGAAAGGAGTTGCAGGAGGGCTAGTTCATACTCCCGGGTCCCCCACTCTTCTGTCACACAGCAGAGGGGCAGACTGTGGCCATATGGGGCCGGAGTCTCACTTTATGACTCCTGAGAGAGGACGCTTCCTCCAGCCGATGCCTCACGCCCTGTCTTGAGGAAGAGGAGAAAGCTGAGGGAAGGAACGAGGGTTGGGACAGGTGCCTGAGGAGCTGGGTTAGCATGCTGGCTTCTTAGGCTTCCCTTTACTTGTTAGAAATAGCTGGCTGTAAGGGTGCACACCTGTAATCCCAGCACTTGTGGGAGGCTGAGGCAGGAGGATCACTGTGAGTTCGATCCAGGTCAGTCTGAGCTACATAGTGAGTCCCTGTCTCAACAGAACAAAAGATGAAAGAAAACAAATTATAGAATGTCCTGAGTACCTGAAAAAATGTGAGGGACATCAAAGAACCCACTGTCTAGGTTTAGTTTTGTTTTACTTGAGATAAAGTCTTGCTGAGTTGCCTGGGCTGGTCTTGAACTTGCTATATTTCTGCCTTAGCCTCCCGAGTAGCAGGGATTACAAACATTTATTAAGGTATAATGCTTGTTGCACACAGTTTACCTGCGTACAGCTAGTCTGTTTACGGACTTGTGCAGCCATTACCATAATCAATATTTACTGTCTCTGTGGGACAGGGTGTCCCTATGCAGTTCAAGTTGGCCTTGAACTCACTTTGTAGCCCAGGCTGGCCTCAAACTCATGGCCATCCCCCTGCCTTAACTTCCTGAGTGCTAGGATTACAGCTGTGCAACACCACATTCAGCCACCATAATCAATGTGTGTGTGTGTGTGTGTGTGTGTGTGTGTGTGTGTGTGTGTGTGTGTGTTTGAAACAGGGTCTTGCTATGCAGTTCAGGCTGGCCTTGAGCTCACTTTGTAGCTCAGGCTGGTCTTGAACTCCCAAGGATCTTCCTGCCTCAGCCTCCCAAGTGCTGGGATTACAGGTGTGTGCCACCACTCCTGGCCACATTGTCATTACCCCAACAAGAAACCTCAAACGTCTTATCTGATACCCTCAAACCTTTCCATATTTCTTTCCCATCCTCAGACTTAGGTAGCCACTGTCAACTTTCTCCCTCTGGTCTGGCCTGTTCTGGACTTTTCATGTAAATGGAACCATGAGTATGTGGCCCTCTGTGTGGGTGCCTCATTCACTCAGCACGATGTTTTCAGAGTTCATGTTGCAGCCGGTGTTGGAACCTCCTTCCTGTTTACAGCTGAATAAAATGCCGTTGTATGGCTAGAGCACATCTCATTTATTCCTCGGGCACTGGGGTTGTGTCCACCTTTGGGGTGTTAGGAATAGGGCTGCTGTGAACATGTGTGTACATGTTTGTTGGGCTTTTTTTGGGGGGGGGACAAGCTCTTGCTATGTAGTTCAGACTGGCCTCAAATGCATTTTGAACTCCTGGCCACCCTCCTGCCTCAGCCTCCTGAGTGCTGGGATCACAAGCGTGCACCACCATGCCCAGCTAGCCTATCATTTATTCAGACCACAAACACTGAGGCCCAAGGTGAACAAGAGACGAGGGGAGGCCGTGGTCAGGAAGGGCCTCCCTGAGGGACTGATGCCAGATGTCGTGAGGGGTGGCCGGCCAGGACTGCACATGTGCTTGGCCTGAAGGCAGCAGGGAGCCGGCGGTGTGAACAGGGTTGTGAGGCAGTCGCGGGGTCAAGTCCAGAGTTCGTGGTTACTGGGGATGAGGAGGACATCATCACTCACGCGTCATTCCTGGGTGCCGGGCCCTGAGAACAGGGCCAGGGCTGTGACTAGACTGTCCTTGTCTTCCCGAGAGTGTCGTAGGGGCTGATCACCGAGCCGTTGGTGACAGCTGAGTGCAGTGGCCGGGACTGGGGTTCGGGCTGTTGCCTGCCTGTGGAGGCGGGAAGGGGAGACGGAGGGCACCACAAGGGCCCTCCTCATGTGTCTTCCTGCGCCCCAGGCCGCCACAACCAAAGTCCCGGAGATCCGCGATGTGACGAGGATCGAGCGCATCGGTGAGTGTGCGGGCGGGCTCGGCACCCACGGCCCCTGCCTGTGCCCCTGCCCCCCCCTCCAGGGGAGAAGGAGGTGGCCAGATCCCGAGTCCCAGGGCGGGCTCCTGGGAGGTGGTGCCAGGCTGTCACAACTGCGGCTTCTCTGGGTGCCTGTGGGGTCCTGTGTCTTCGGCACACCAGCCTGTGCTCCCTGCAGGGATCTGGACTGTGTGCCCGCACGAGGCGGGCAGAGCAGACTGCAGGTGACCGCAAGTGTGTGGGTCTGCCCGCTGTGAGCCCTTGAAGTGTCCCCAAGAGGGCGAGTGTGACTGACCCCAGTTTCGCTGAGGTAGCTGAGTTTCAGGGCCCAGGTCGCCCAGGAGGCTGAGGCCCAGCGG